AGTTCCTTCTCTAGGGCGGTAATGGTGAGCTCAGTGGGGCAGCGAGCTAGGAAGTGGTCCGTGACTGTACGCAGAGTGTCGGGGAGGCGGGTGACTAGGTGGTAGAGAGTGAGCCAGAGCGGGGGAGGGTTGGAGGCAAGAAACTCAGCGGGCATGGCTGCACGGAAGCGGGCATCACTAGTGCGGAGGTGAGTGATGAGGTCAGCGACTGTCTGGAAGGCGGACAGGTCGGGGAACAGGTAGGGAAGCGAGAGGCGGCCTAGTGCAGCTGAGGCCGGGGAGGAGTAGCGCGCAACTACAGCAGTGTACAGGGCCTGCGCAGTCTGATGCTGGCCAAAGTGCTCGCGCTCGTCGACTGGCAGGGAGTTGCGAATAGCAAAGCGGGCGTGGGCATCGCGAGTCTGCCACTGTGAGCGAGCAGTAGCAGCAGCAGTAGTAGCAGGAGGAGGGACTGTGCCTAGTGCGTGATCGTACAGCGAGATATCCTCTCTGGCAGTGAGCTGGAGGAACAGGTGCAGATCATCGAGCCAGGTCTCAAACTTAATCGGGCGGCCCTCAGCATCGAACGAGAGAACTGGAGGGCTAGCCATAGCTGAAGTAGCAGTAGCAGAATTAGCAGTAGCAGTAGCAGTAGCAGCAGTAGCAGCGGTAGTAGTAGTAGTAGCAGTAGCAGTAGTGGTGCTGCTGCTCAGGTAAGGAGGGCGCGGCTCGGCTAGGACGGCGCGGCTCGGCTAGGGCGGCGCGGCTCGGCTAGGGCGGCGCGGCTCGGCTGGGGCGGCGCGGCTCGGCTGGGTCGCGTGGTTCGGCTCGGGTCGCGCGGTGCAGCTGGGGTCGCGCTGTGCGGCTCGGCCGTAGAGGGGTGAGCGCGGGAGGGGCCGTTCGGGGGCCGGTCGGGGCTAGCGCGGGGCCATTTAGGGGCCGTAGGAGGCTAGCGCGGGGCCTGAAGGGGCCGTGGGAGGCTAGCGCGGGGCCTTACGGGGCCGTGGGAGGTTAGCGCGGGGGCCGCACGGGGCCGTTCGAGGCTAGCGCGGGGCCAATCGGGGCCGTAGGAGGCTAGCGCGGGGCCGTAGATGGGCCGTGGGAGGCTAGCGCGGGGCTACACGGGGCCGTTAGGGGCTAGCGCGGGGCCATAGGGGGCCGTGAGAGGCTAGCGCGGGGCCGACGCGGGGCCTTAAGGGGCTAGCGCGGGGTCTTAAGACGGGGCCGTGAGAGGCCGTAAGGGGCGACGCGAGGGGCCGTGAGGGGCCTGAAGGGGCAACGCTAGGAACGAGGCGCACGAGGGCGCTAGGAAAAGGCGGCGCACGAGGGCGCGGCTAGCGGAAACGGTGGGCCCTAACGTTCCGGTCCTAGGTGGAACCTAGGCTCGTAATACCATGTCAAAATGAGAAACAGGAATGGTGTGTGACTAGCAGGAACAACAATACAAATATGAAACCCTAAACTGGTGTACCCCCTATGGTGTGACCCACTACAGCCTAGAACCACACAAACATATAATGTTTGACACGGGCCAGGTATGACACTCGCTTCGAGATACAGCAGGATAATAGTAGTGATGCATGATACGGCTCCATCTGTGAGATGAGGCAAAGTGGCGCACGCATTGTGTCGAGGCTAGCCCTTAGGAACGTCATGGTAGCACGGTCCAAGCCAATGTAGCTACCTAGCACTTTGAGTCTGTCGGCACAGAAGGGCACGCCCTGGGGCAGAGTGAGTCCTTCTGCTGTAGCTCGTGACCAAGCTGTGCATTTTGCGGATTGTGCAGCAGGTCGCAGAAATGGCTGTCGTAAAATGATCGAGCGCCATAGTGCAAGCCTCTGCTGCCCCAATGAAAGTGACATCTTCGGCTTATACTAAGCATACTACCAATGAGAAGCCTGCAGCCGTTTCATGGAGTGCTGGGTGCACAGTGGCCACGGATAAGAGCGGACCTAAGGGGTCCCCGTTGATTGGAGATTTGGCCCCGCCCTCGCTTGGGCGAAGCTGATGTCGCTGACCGACGTGTAAGTTGTGTAGCCGACTAGGCTTCGTTGTTGGCGCCGACTTGGGGAAGCAAGTGGGCTTGGTTGGCTGACCTCGGTGGAGCTGACTTTAGCGGAGCCGACTTCGGTGGTTAGTCGACTTCAGTAAAGCAGACCACTACGAAGCCAACTTCAACGAACGGTAAAGCCGAGTTCCTGAACCAAGCCATCTTCGTTAGCCGACTTCGGGAAGTCGACCACTTTGAAGCATACTTTGGCGAGGCCGGCCACGGTGTGGGCTGATGTAGTGAAGTTAGGAGACGACGAAGATGTTTGTCGACATGAGGCCAACTTATGGGCGACAACCTGTGATCGTCAGTGACCTTCTCTGGTCGACCGAGTAACCTGGCCTACAGAATTCTGCGTGGGTGCGCGAACGTTGTCCATGTGGTTTTGGCAAAGTCGGCCAACGTGGCAGCACGTGGTTGACGCGGTGCATCTGGCGCAACTGTCGGCATGTGGCTGACTTGGCATGTGTGCAATGTGCGTGACAGTGCACGTGCTCAACCATGTACATGCACCTACGAAGTACAACGCGATTGCAACGCGATTGCAACGCTGGCAAGCCGCCTTGCTGCGGCATTGGCAAACCGCCCTAGCACAGCACTAACAGGTCACCGAGTAGCAGTGTTGGCAAGCCTCCTTTGAGCTATGTTGGCACGCTGTCGACTTGCCGCACAGGCCGGCCACCCCCGTGCTGTGCTGAAGGTCGACGTGCTGGCTAGGTCCCAAATGTAGTCACCATTGCCAATCTCTTTTGCATCATTGTATCCAACTTTTGCTACTAAAACTCTTGCCAACTTTCACCGTGAATGCGCAAGTAGAGAGAATACGAGCAAACCCTATGGTCATTCGTCACCACCTGTGAGTGGTATTCAGGCTTCTGGTTTACCTTCTCCATCTCCCGAACGCTTACCGTCTACACCGTCCCCGTGCTTCTACATTCCTACGTTCCTCCCCCCAACATCGTCTCCGGCTCGTTCTCCTACTCGATCATGTCTGGCCCCTCCTCTACTTCCTTCTCCGTCCCTAGCCTCTACTTCTTGGTCGCGTCATTCTTTGTGTGCTCGTCCATCGTCTCCTGTCTCAGACCTCCACTCCATGTTTCTTCATACAATCCATCCTCGTGTTTTGCCTCCCTCTATCCTCCAGTCCCCTCCTGCATCGTCTCTCAATGTTTCCTCGTAACCTCGTTCCGAATACTACCATATCACCCGTTCTATTGTTTCTCGTGTCCTCTCGTGTCCTCTCGTCTCTCATCACCCCTACTGCCTCTCCATCGCCCATCTCGGCTCTTTCCGTTGCTATCACTGACTTTGCCTCCACTCGCTGCCTTGACTGCGCCACCCAGTTGGTCTCTGCTTCTCCTAATCGTCCTTTGTCCGTCGGGGGTGAGTCTGGCCGTTCCTGTGACGTCTTAGAGGACAGGCAATTTCAGCTGAGGTTCATTGCGGACGCTGCTTCTCATCTCTGTGTCATGCTACTAGCCCCTAATGTTGGAGTAGGCTAGAGTGTGAAGAATATGAGGTAAGTTGAAAGGAAGGGCCTAGGCTTAGTAGCCTAGGCCCGAACTTAGGTGTCGACTGGGTTTTACCCTAGGCGAGGTATCGAGTGAGTTGAGAGAGGAATTGGAGAAAAGTGATGGTTTCACTATAGGTTCAAGGGTACATATAGCATAGAAACCAAATAAGGTGCACCACCAACAACAGTTTAAATAACTACACTAACTACAACTACAAGCAGTTATAAAACATGACAAATATATTTCGACACGCCCCCATAATGCTTGTAGGTAGATATGTAGTTACGCCATTCAAAAGAATAGCAAGCAACAGCAGGTACCCCTTCCATCTCCTCACCCTCCTCCTTCCCCTCCCCCACACTGCTGCAAGAGCAGCAGAGAAGGGGGGGGAAGTGAGGAGTGGTGGAGGGACGGCTGCATGTTGCCTCACACCCGCCACCCCGGTACCACTCCCCCTGCTCCCCCACATCCTCACACCCTCCCCCCCCAGCGGCAGCTGCAGCGGTGGGATTGAAAGAAGGAGGGGAAGGGAGAGAGGTGACCCAACACTCCAACACCCTCCACCCCCATACCCTCCTCCCCACGGCTGCAGGGAGACAAAGGAGGAGGGGGCGGGCGGGAAGAAAGCCGCAGAGCGGAGAAAAGGTGTCGGTGCAGATGGGCCAGGGGCGGCTTCAGGGAGAGCAGGGGCGGAAAGGCCCGTCGCGTGCCAGTGCCACGGGGCGCACGACGGGTAGAAGAAGAGAAAGGGCCCGATCGTGCGCCTAGGGGCGCACGACGAGCAGGGCACCATCGTGTGCCACGGGGCGCACGATGGGCAGTTGAAGGGCACCGTCGCGTGCCACGGGGCGCGCGACGGGCAGAGTAGGAGTCACACACCCGTGGGCGGGACAAGGTAAAAAATCGTCACGCGCCCTAGGCGCGCGACCGAAAAATCATAGCGGAAGCGTAGGGCGGGCCCACAGGCCAGGACGTAAATAGCTCTGATACCATGTGAAGAATATGAGGTAAGTTGAAAGGAAGGGCCTAGGCTTAGTAGCCTAGGCTCGAACTTAGGTGTCGAGTGGGTTTTACCCTAGGCGAGGTATCGAGTGAGTTGAGAGAGGAATTGGAGAAAAGTGATGGTTTCACTATAGGTTCAAGGGTACATATAGCATAGAAACCAAATAAGGCGCACCACCAACAACAGTTTAAATAACTACACTAACTACAACTACAAGCAGTTATAAAACATGACAAATATATTTCGACATAGAGCTTGCTCTGGTCTTTATTTTGGTGTTATATTATTTCTCCATGCTTAGAGAGAGTTACGCATTCAGGTTCATTTTAGGTTCATTTCGTAGTTCTTAGTACAAACCGAGGTTCAATTAGGGTTTGCAACCCTCTCTCTTTTGTATCTCGACACTTTCTTCCTAGTGCAACTTTTTCGACCCTACCTAACTCTCTCGCCATCCATGGCTCCTCTCAGTCTTAACATGGTATTCAGAGCGTAGTCCTAGGCGTTTCATATGTATCCCTATTTCTTAGATAATCTCCGGCCCTTAGGCCATTTCCGCACTACTTAGCTAGACGGTTTTTTCTTATCTCCTTTCTTCCCCGTCACTCTTTAAAAAATCACATTTTTTGTCACATTATACTCTTGCGAATCCCCGTATCCAGTCCGTAGCGCGTCGCCATACCGCCCTTATCACCCTCCCGCGCCTTTCTATTCGTCGCGCCTCCTTCTCCTCCCGTTTCTAACGGTTGCGCGCCCATTTTGCCCAAAGCGCGCTCTGTCGTCCCCCCCCTTCCTTCGTCCCGTCGTGCGTGCATTGCGCTCCCGCCGTCCGCGCGCGCTAAGCACCATCCAGCAGCGTGCGCGCCTGCCCTTCCTTTCGGTGCGCCCTGCCCTTCCTCAATCCGCCCCTTCCCTCACCCTCCTCCTCCTTCCCTCTCTCCTTTGTGCTTCCCCCCACTACCTCACCTCTTCCTCCTCCTATTTTCTCTCCCCATCTGCTGCGGCTCGCAGCTCCTTGTGGCGTGCCCTTCCCTTCCACAATCCGCCCCTTCGCCCTCCTCCTCCTCTCCTCTTTCCCACTAGTTCCCTCTCCACCATCTCACCCCTCCTCCACCTCTTTTCTCCCTTCATCTGCTGCAGCTGGTAGCTGATTGTGTTATGTAGCTGTTGTTCCTCCCCACCTTCCCTCCTCCTCACCATCCTCCTCTCAACTGCTCAACTGCAAACTCTTCACAATTCTCCCTCCTCTTGTTTCTCCCCTCAGCGGCACAGCAGCAGACTACTTCGCCATTTTCCCTCCTCCTCTGGTTTCTCCCCTCATCGGCGCAGCAGCAGACTACTCCGCCATTTTTCCTCCTCTGGTTTCTCCCCTCATCGGCTCAGCAGCAGACTACTTCGCCATTTCCCCTCCTCCTCTGGTTTCTCCCCGCATCAGCTCAGCAGCAGACTACTCCGCCACTTTCCCTCCTCCTCTTGTTTCTCCCCTCAGCGGCTCAGCAGAAGACTACCCTGCCCTTATTCCTCCGCCTCTTATACCTCTCCCCACATCTGCTCTGCAGGTGTCTCCTCCTCCTCATGGCGACCTCTCTCGCCCTCCCCTCCCTCCCTCTGCTGGTCCTTCAGCTTGCGCCCAATGGCAGTGCAGTCAACTTCCCCAGTTGGTTGAACTGTCTTGAGCGCACGCTGTCTGGCACCCTAGTGAGTGGCTTTAACCTCTGGTCTGTCACTCAACAGAGTGGTTCTGGCGCCATTCCTACCTCTCCCTCTGCACCCGCCTCTTCCTCCTCTGACCCCTATGCTGATGGCCTCCGTGCTGCCATTGTTGAAACTGAGCGGCTTGGGGCCACGGCGCAAGCCACCGCCACGGCTGCTCCTGACAATACTGCTGCCCGTGACTTAGCTTGCATTCTTGCTGAGTCCCTTGAGAGCACCCGCAAGCACCTCACTAAGCACCTCACTGCCCCTTCTCCTTGCTCTGCCTCTACGCCCCTTTCCTCTGCTCCATCTCACTCTAACCTTCTCGCTGACTGGCATGTCGCCAACGCACGTGCTTGTAAGGTTGCCTGCCTCCCTCCAACTCTTCTCCCTCAGTGCTCGCACATCCACTATGTCAAGGACCTTCTCGGCTATCTTGCTAAGCGCTTTCAATCACAGACTCCCATCAGCGTCATTGCCCTCTTATGCGAGCTCACCTCTCTTCGTCTTGCAAACTTCACCACCATGGCAGACTACATCGCTCGTGTGCAGACGCTGTCCTCCCAACTTGCCGCTCAACATTTTGAACTTTCCCATCATGTCTGCGGTGCCCTCCTCCTCACAGGCCTCACTCCTGAATACAGTGTTCATGTCACCTTGTATGGTGAGCGCCCTGCCGACCAATGGTCATTCTCCCATGTCTCTGTGAAACAAGTGAACAGGAATGAATGAACTAGCAGTGAAATGAGTACAAGTAGGAAACCCTAGAATTGTGTACCCCCTATAGGCTAGCCCACTGTAGCCTACACAAGCATAACATGTATAATGTTTGACACACCCCCATAGGCAAAGTGGGGGAGAACAAGGGGTCACAAGACAAGTCAAGCAAAGCAAAGCAAGCTCAGGGTGGATCACAAAGTCACCACACAGTCCGAGCACAAGAGCAGGGCCTAGAGGCCAGTTCACATGCAGGAGTATAGACATATGTATAAAACTAGACAAGCAAGAGCAGGTATATATATATGTCACAGTACAAGTGAAGTCAAGAGGAGAGCAAGTGAGGCAAGACAGGCACAAGACCCAGCAGGGTGCAAAAGCGCTGATGGTCACAAGGCGCGAGTGCCTTGATGAACACATCAGCAGTGTTGGCCTCAGAGGCCACGTACGCAAGTCGCAACTGACCATGCTGCTGCAGCTCACGAGCAAGGAAGTAGCGGAGAGCAATGTGCTTCGTTCTGTGCTCCAAGCGCTCCTCTCGACACAAGGCCAGCATGGCCTTGTTGTCTACGTACAGCACTGGAGGAGAACGAGGCGGCTCTCCAAGGTCAGTCAGCAGGTAGGTGAGCCAGCGAAGCTCCTGTGCAGCCATGGCCCCGGCGTAGATCTTGGCCTCACAACTGGAGCCGAGAACCGAAGACGAGCGAGTAGGCCGCCACGAGACAGAGCCGGAACCAAGGCTGAAGGTGTAACCCTGTGACGACCGCTGCGTAGCCTGGTCGTCAGCCCAAGAAGCGTCCGCGTGGCCGGTAAGGACCACTGGACTCCGCCCTCCAAGCACTAGCCCCATGCCCGACGTACTGCACAGGTAGCGCAATACCCTCTTCGCTGCAGCCATGTGCTCTGGTCTGTGTCTCCCAGGAGCAACATAGCGTGCAAGAATGCTCAGAGGGTATGCAAGGTCAGGTCGTGTGCAGGTCATCAGGTACATGAGGCAGCCAACAAGCTCTGCATACGGACCACTCGACTCTACGGACTCATCCGAAGGCAGAGCTGAGAGTGAGTGGCGAGTAGGCAGAGGAGTGGCCTGAGGCGAGGAGTACGTGAAGCCGAAGCGCTGAAGGACCTGCTGCACCATGTGTGACTGAGTCAAAGTAATGGTGCGGCGTGCTCTGTCCCGAGTGATCTGCAAGCCAAGGTAGCTGCGCAGTTCACCCAGGTCTGTGCACGTGTGTCTCTTCAGCAGCTCGGACTTCACGTAGGCGAGTCCAGCAGTGTCCGCTGTGGCAAAGACCAAGTCGTCGACGTACACGAGGATGTAGAACGGCGGCAGGGAAGTGTCGGTGCGAAGAAACAGCGACGGGTCAGCAGTAGAAGGAGCAAACCCAAGAGCCGCAAGCGTAGTCCTCAGTGTGTCGTGCCACTCACGCGGTGCCTGGCGGAGACCGTAGACTGGCCGTCGGAGGCTCCACTGGGTGCCAGGAGGGAAAGTCCCAGTGAAGCCAGGTGGACGGCGCAGCCAGATCTCCTCGTGCAGGCTACCCTGCAAGAACGCAGTGCTGAAGTCGAGAGAGTGAAGCTCGTAGTCGCGCTGAGCGGCTATGTGCAGCAGCACCCGAAGAGTAGTCATCTTCGGGGTGGGAGAGAAGGTCTGAAAGTAGTCAGCTCCCTGCCGCTGACTGAAGCCACGAGCAACGTACCGTGCCTTGAAGACAGGTGGAGAGCCCGGCGGCCGCTTCACCCTGAAGATCCACATGCCACTGACGATGTTCGCCCCAGGAGGGGGAACCGCGTCAACGTAGGTGCCTGTGGACTTCCAGGAAGCCATCTCTGCATCCATAGCTGCCTGCCACTGAGAGGAGTAGGGACCCTCTACGGCCTCCGCGTAAGAACGCGGAGTCGGGATGTCTAGTGCATCCGGGTCTCCCTCAGGGGCAAGCAGTACAGACGCGAGATGAGGTGAAGCAGCCGCTAGACACTGTAACTCCTCCTGCCTGTCCTCTAGGACGTCCGTTCCAAGAGCACACTCACCCCCGACGGACAGAGGACAGACAGACGCAGACTCAGCAACAAGACTAGCAGCGTAGTCGAGACGACAGCGAGCAGCAAAGTCGACGAGCTCAGCGACTAGAGCAGACGCAGCAGTGGACTCAAAAGAGGGGTCAGTGACGACAGTAGCAAGCAGACGCGTGACAGTAGGACTGGCAGCACGAAGAGAGTCCGACTCAGGGTCGGCAAGCGCAGGAAGAGAGGACTCACGAGGAGAAGGCAAAGGGGCACGCAGAGGAGCAGTGGACGGACGCAGAGACATCCGGTGCGTGCCAGGGACAGGAGGAGGACGCTGACGCGAACTGCGACCACTAGCGCGAGCAGCACGAACAGGCGACGCGGGACGAGACGCAGGCTCACGACGCTCAGCAAGACCTCCAGTAGGACCAGTGTAAGGAGAGGGAGCAGGCAGTGGAGAGGAAGGCTCTAGCAGGGACTGCGACTGGACAGGCGGTGGACCCTCTACTAGAGGAGAAAGACCAAGAACCTGCTGCAGGAGCGGAACGAAGTACGGCCGAGGCCGCGCGGCAGCTCCAGACTCAGCAGGGACAGCACCACCACCCTCAGCGACAGCACCAGCGCCACCCACACCTCCAGCGGCAGGACCAACAGCAGTAGGCTCAGCACCAACGCCCTCAGCAGCACCAGCTCCAGGAGGACGCGCAGGTCCTGCAACTCCGGGACCGGCAGCACCACTGCACCCTCGACGGTCGAAGAAGCTCCAGCTCCAGCTCCAGCAGCACCTCTAGACTCAGCAGCACGCCTCCAGCGGCGAGCGAACCACTCGCGCAGCTCCTGTGGAGAGAGGGGCTCCCGGCGAGACGCAGCAGCAGGAGAAACCCCAGGGTCAGCAGCTCCAGACGCAGCACCCCCAGGCTCAGCAGCTCCCAGCTCAGCACCCCCAGGCTCAGCAGCTCCCGACCCAGCACCCCAAGACCCAGCACCCCAAGACCCAGCACCTCCAGGCACAGCACCCCCCGGCTCAGCACCCCCAGGCTCCGCACCCTCCGTAGTAGCACCCTCAGGCCCAGCACCCCCAGCAGTAGCACCCCCAGGCTCAGCACCCCCGCGCACAGCACCCCCAGAGTCAGCACCCCCAGGCTCAGCACCCGCAGCAGCACCAGAGTCACCAGTAACCTCGACCGGGTCAACGGCGTCTACCTGGGACACACCTGAGGGGGCAGGAACCTGAGGGGGGAGGGGGTCTACCGGGGGGGGAACCGGCACAAGGAAGTCCGGGGGAGGGGGGAGGGAAGGAGTGCGGTAGGGGAAGAGACGGTAGAAGGGGACTGACTCGTCGAACGTGACGTCCTGGGAGGACAGAACACGACGAGAGGAGGGGTGGTAAAACTGCCACCCTGGGGCGTCAGAGGGGAAGCCAAGGAAGACACAGGGAGCAGCACGAGGGGACAGCTTGTCCGCAGACAAGTCGCGGACAAACGCCCGAGATCCCCAGACACGGAACACAGACGCATCGCCAACCTTCCCCGTCCACAGCAAGGCTGGGGACATCGCAGGCCGAGAGACCCGGGGGTGAAGGTTGAGCTGATGCGCCGCGTACGTCACCGCAAACGGCCACAGAAAATGGGGGGCAGCCGCATGCATCATGGACGTACGAGCGACATCCATGACCATGCCAATGTGGCGCTCAGCAATCCCATTTTGCTGTGGTGAGTCCGGAAGCCCGAAGGTCTGGCGAATCCCCCGTGCACGACAGTAGTCCCGCAGAAGGCGAGAAGAGAACTCTCCGCCTCTGTCCGAGTGCAGACGCAGAACAGGAAAGTCCGAGCCGAAGCTCTTCCTGAGCTGGAGACGAGCCTCGCGGATCCAGTCGATCAGCACCTCAGTGACCGCACCCTTGCTGCGCAAGGGGAGGACTATGGTGTAACGCAAGTAGTCGTCAACCACCAACAGGAAGTAGCGCTCGTGACCCTGCCCACGGACGGGGGCTGGGCCCCACACATCCATGTGAAGCGTCTGCAGGGGAGCCTCTGTCGAGGGGAAGTGGGAGGAGTGAGGAGTAGCCCGGAGGCGACCCTCGACACAGGGGACACAGGAAGGTCCTGGCCCGGAGGGGAGAGGAGGGAGAGACTGGGGAAGACCAGAGACAAGGACACGGGAAGCCATGCTCCGAAGACGGGGCAAGGAGGGGTGGCCAAGACGGTGGTGCCACAGGAGAGTCTCGTGAGACAGGAGGCGACAAGAACAGGGGGCAGACTCAGGACCTGACCGGGACGCAGCAGCAAGCACCTGACCCGACGCAGCCACCTGACCAGACGCAGGGACAGGAGGAGACTCAACGCTCAGGGTGTAGAGACTTGACCCCGGCCGACACGAGAACGTGGCCAGGTGTCGGCCTGTGCGTGCCTCCGTGCAGTGGGTCACCCGCTGACTCGCAGGAGTGAACTGGTGAACCCCCACATCCTGCAGGTCCGCTCCACTCACCAAGTTCGTAGAGAACAAGGGAAGGTACAGACCAGACAGGGTGCCCGAAGGGGCAGCCGGACACGGGAGGACAGTGGAGAAGTGAGACAGGACAGGACCCCCAGAGGGGTCAGCAAGGGAGACCGCAACCGGCCGGCCGAGCGGCGTAAGGGTAGTGCGGTCTCGAAAGAAGGAGCGAGAAGCTCCGGAGTCAAGTGTGAAAGTGAGGGAGGACGAGGACGACGTAGTACCTGAGAGCGCAGTCTCACCAGTACCTGAGAGCACAGACGCACTGGCACCTAGAGCAGCAGCCTCACAAGCACCTAGCGCAGCAGTACCAATGCCCGGGTCGGGCTGGAAACACCGGTAACCCTCATTCTCCTCACTATAATCCACAGCATACATAGCAGCAAGGATAGCATCAAAATCAAGATCAAAGATCGCTACACCAGCCCTTAGAAGCTCATCCCAGCGAGGGATCTCACTAGCCCCAGGGAACTGCTCACGCCAAGCGTCCGTCAGGCGGCCAAAGCAGCGCTGGGTGGCGTGGGCACCCCCACACTGCTCACCCGCGCAGTCGCCGGAACGAAGAACGTAGGTGCAGGGACCAGTACCCCCACCCCTCTGACGCCCAGCGTACCACTCACGAAGCTGCTGAGGCGGAGGGATGTCCCGCGAGCGCTGCTGCTGCTGCCGCTGCGAGCGCTGGCCACCACCACCGCCACTACGCTGCTGGGTACCACCCCGACCAGCTCCAACTCCTCCACCACCACCGCCTCCTCCGCTGCCGCCTCCACCTCCGCCGCCTCCACCTCCGCCGCTGCCTCCACTACCACCGCTGGCACCACCACCACCGTCTCCGCCGCTGCTGCCACCACCACCACCACCCCCGCCACTAGTCCCGCCGCCACCCCCACTCCCTCCGCCGCCACCGCCGCCACCGCCACCGCCCCCTCCAGCTCCACCCGCGCCCTTGCCCCCCTTGCCCTTGCTGGAGCAACGTCTCCCACTAGGGGTAGACGCCGCGCCGACCGACTCAAGACCAAGCAGGTCGGCAGCAGCAGCAGAGGCAACAGAGGGCAGCAAGGGGGAAGGAGAGCACCCCTCAAAGATGGGGGTGCGAGGGTCACCACGAGAAGCACCTACAGCGACTATGCTCTTCTCCGCTGCGAGGAGGGCCTTCTCGAGGAGGTCGACGGTGAGGGTGGTGGGACAGACTGCGAGAAAGTGGTCCCTGACGACGCGAAGGGAGTCAGGGAGGCGCGCGACTACGTAGTAGAGAGCGATGTACATGGGGGGTGGGTTCTTAGCGCAGAACTCAGCAGGAAGGGCGGCGCGGTAGCGAGTGTCACTAGTGCGGAGGTGTGTAATGAGGTCAGCAACAGTGGGAAAGGCAGAGAGGTCAGGAAAGAGGTAGGGAAGCATGAGACGGCTCAGTTCAACAGTGGCAGGGGAGGAGTAGCACGCAACTACAGCGTCGTACAAGGTCTGAGCACTCTTCTACTGACTAAAGTGCGCACGCTCAGAGGTAGGGAGGTGGCGACGCACAGCAAGACGTGCAGCAGCATCGCGGGTGGCCCACTGAGAGCGGACAGTGGGATCAGCATCAGCAGCAGGAGCAGGAGAGGCGCCAGAGGTGAGGTCAAAGAGAGAAAGGTCGTCAGCCCTGTCGCACTGTAAGAACAGCTGCAGGGCGTCTAACCAGACCTCAAAATCAATGGCGCGACCCTCAGCGTCAAAAGCTAGGACACTAGGGGTAGCCATGGCGACGACAGCGACGCAGTGCAAGCAGTAGGGAAAGAGCTCGCAGTGTCACTGGGACTGTGCTCACCAGGCAGGGCAGGTCGTGCAGCTCTGCAGAAAGGCGGCTCAGCGACCGGGCGGCTCGGGTGCACAGCGGCTAGGCTCCCGGGCGGCTCGGCGGCTGGGCGGCTCGGGCGCAGGGCGGCTCGGCTCCCGGGCGGCTCGGCGGCAGGGCGGCTCGGGTGCAGGGCGGCTCGGCTCCCGGGCGGCTCGGCGGCAGGGCGGCTCGGGTCCCGGGCGGCTCGGCGTTGGGCGGCTCGGCTCCCGGGCGGTGCAGGGGCGGGGCCGTCAGGTGCAGCGGCGGGTCGACCGGTGCAGCGGCGGGCCTTAGGGTGCAGCGGCGGGCCGTAGGGTGCAGCGGCGGGCCGGCAGGTGCAGCGGCGGGGCCGTCAGGTGAAGCGGCGGGCCGCTGGGTGCAGCGGCGGGCCGGCAGGTGCAGCGGCGGGCCGGCAGGTGCAGCGGCGGGGCCGTCAGGTGAGGCGGCGGGCAGTAGGGTGCAGCGGCGGGCCGTAGGGTGTAGCGGCGGGCCGGCAGGGCCGCGTCAGAGCCGGCGGCGGGGCCGCGTCAGTGGAGGCGGCGGGGCCGCGTCAAGCAGGCGGCGGGGCCGCGTCAGAGCCGGCGGCGGGGCCGCGTCAGTGGAGGCTGCGGGGCCGCGTCAAGCAGGCGGCGGGGCCGCGATCAGGAGAGGTGGCGGGGCCGCGTCTGAGGGACAGCGGGGCCGCGAGGGAAATGGCGACCCGAGGGGTCGCTAAAAAAAAAGGCGCGCCTCGGGGCGCGCTTCGGTGGGCCCTAAAAAACGGTCCTAAGGAAGGACCCGCTCTATACCATGTGAAACAAGTGAACAGGAATGAATGAACTAGCAGTGAAATGAGTACAAGTAGGAAACCCTAGAATTGTGTACCCCCTATAGGCTAACCCACTGTAGCCTACACAAGCATAACATGTATAATGTTTGACAGTCTCTGCCTTCCTCCTCCAGGTAGAGCTCAACCTCCGCAGCTGCCCTCCTACTGTCACTGCTGTCACACCCTCTTCTGCCCCCCCTCCTCTCTCCACCACCACTGTCGCCGCTGCTTCCTCTCGCCCTCGCAACACCTTTCCTCCTTGCACCTACATCATTCGCCAGGGGCCCCGTAAGGGTCAGCCCTGTGGTCGCACCAATCATCCCACCTCCTCCTGCTTCCAGAAACTCATCGATGACTGGTTCCTAGCTGGCAACACTGGTCGCCCTCCCAACTGGCTTCAACTCTCGTCGCCAGTCCTCTGCCCAGGCGGTCCTTGCGGCCGCCAACTCTGGTGCAAGTGCTCAAACCTCTGCTCTCAGTGTGACTATGCCTAGTCAGGATAGCATTCTGGGGGCTTCTCCCCTTATGGACCCTCGTTTTGCCATGATGTTCGCTCCTTCTGTTAATGGCAATGATTCTCAGTATCTTGGTCCCACAGTTGCTGCTCTTTCCCTCCCTCACACTCTTGAGTTTGTTCTTGACAGTGGTGCTACTGACTCTGTCTTTTGTGATGCTGGTGTGCTTCGCTCTTTTCCCGTCCCCTCCATTCAAGGGGCTGGGGATACCATGTACATGACTTGCACCGCTACATCTTCTCTTCCTTGTCCTGCCTACCCCTCTGGTGCTGTGACTGGCCTCTATGTTCCTTCCTGCCGCCACAACCTTCTTTCTCTCTCTGCTCTCCAACGTCTTTGTATGCAAGCTATCTTTCCTGAATGTGACTCCTACTGTGATCTCTATCACCGCAACCGCCATCTTGCACGCTTCACTCTTTCTCCTATCAATCGCCTCTACACTCTTTGTGTCTCTCTTCCCTCCTCTGCCCATCATGCCTCTTCCGCTTGCGCCCCTCTCGTTCCCTCCTGCGAATGTCGCTCTCTTGTTCAACCTACTCTTCTCCTTCGCCATCGACTTGGCCACCCCGACTCTCCTCTTCTTCGCAGTATGGTCTCTTCTAAGCCTCTTCATGGCCTGCCTTCCTCTCTCCCCCCCCTTTCCTCCCTCTCCCGCTCCTCCATGCACCCCATATGTCCAGGCCAAACTCTCCCAGTCACCTCATCCCTCTTCTCCCTCTGCCTCTCCCCAACCCCTTGAACTTATTCATATGGACCTTGTGAAGAAATCAGGAATGAATGAACTAGCACAAGATTGGGTACAAGTAGGAAACCCTAGGAAACTGTACCCCATAGTGTCTACCCCACTATAGCCTAGACAAGCTATATGATAAATGTTTAACACACCCCCATAGGCAAAGTGGGGGAGAACAAGGGGTCACAAGACCAGTCAAGCAAAGCAAAGCAAGCTCAGGGTGGATCACAACGTCACCACACAATCCGAGCACAAGAGCAAGGCCACACAGCCAGTTCACATGCAAGATCATATATAAAGGTAAACAGGCAAGTGCAGGTATAGAAAGATCACAGTACAAGCAAGGTCAAGAAGTGAGCAAGTGAGGCCAAGTAGGCACAACACCTAGCATTGTACAGAAGCGCTGATGATCACAAGGCGGAAGTGCCTTGGTAAAGATATCAGCAGTGTTGGCCTCAGAGGCCACGTAAGCAAGGCGCAGATGACCACGCTGCTGCAGCTCACGAGCAAGGAAGTAGCGAAGAGCAATGTGCTTCGTTCTGTGCTCCAGTCTGTGCTCCCGACACAAGGCCAGCATGGCCTTGTTGTCTACGTACAGAACTGGAGGAGAACGAGGTGGCTCTCCTAGGTCAGTCAGCAGGTAGGTGAGCCAGCGTAGCTCCTGTGCAGCCATGGCCCCCGCATAGATCTGAGCCTCGCAGCTGGAGCCGAGAACAGAAGACGAGCGGGTAGACCGCCACAAAACAGAGCCGGAGCCAAGGCTGAAGGTGTAACCCTGTGACGACCGCTGCGTAGCCTGGTCGTCAGCCCAAGAAGCGTCTGCGTGACCTGTGAGGACCACTGGACGTCGCCCTCCAAGCACTAGCCCCATGCCCGACGTACTGCACAAGTAGCGCAACACCCTCTTCGCTGCAGCCATGTGCTATGGTCGGTGTCTACCAGGAGCAACATAACGTGCCAAGATGCTAAGAGGGTATGCAAGGTCAGGTCGTGTGCAGGTCATCAGGCACATGAGGCAGCCAACAAGCTCTGGGTACGGGCCACTCGGCTCTACGGAATCATCCGAAGGCAGAGCTGAGAGCGAGTGGCGAGTAGACAGAGGAGTGGCCTGAGGCGAGGAGTACGTGAAGTCGAAGCGCTGAAGGACCTGCTGCACCATGTGTGACTGAGTCAGGGTAATGGTGCGCTGTGCTCTGTCCCGGGTGATCTGCAAGCCAAGGTAGCTGCGCAGTTCACCCAGGTCTGTGCACGTGTGTCTCTTCTGCAGCTCGGACTTCACGTGGGCGAGTCCAGCAGTGTCAGCAGCAGCAAAGACCAAGTCGTTGACGTACACGAGGATGTAGAACGGCGGCAGAGTAGTGTCGGTGCGCAGAAACAACGACGGGCCGGCTGTAGAAGGAGCAAACCCAAGAGCCGCAAGTGTAGTCCTCAGTGTGTCGTGCCACTCACGGGGCGCCTGGCGGAGACCGTAGACTGGCCGCCGGAGACTCCAGTGGGTACCAGGAGGAAACGACCCAGTGAAGCCAGGTGGGCGGCGCAGCCAGATCTCCTCGTGAAGGCTGCCCTGCAGGAAAGTTGTGCTGAAGTCAAGAGAGTGAAGCTCGTAGTCGCGCTGAGCAGCTATGTGCAGCAGCACCCGAAGAGTGGTCATCTTCGGGGTGGGAGAGAAGGTCTGAAAGTAGTCAACTCCCTGCCGGTGACTGAAGCCTTGAGCGACGTAACGCGCCTTGAAGACAGGCGGAGAACCCGGCGGCCGCTTCACCCTGAAAATCCACATGCCACTGACGATGTTCGCCCCAGGTGGGGGAACCTCGTCGACGTAGGTGCCTGTGGACTTCCAGGAAGCCATCTCTGCGTCCATGGCTGACTGCCACTGAGAGGAGTAGGGACCCTCGATCGCCTCAGCGTACGATCGAGGAGTCGGGATGTCTGGTGCATCCGGGTCTCCCTCAGGGGCAATCAGCGTGGACTCGAGATGAGGCAAAGCAGCAGTAAAACACTGGAACTCCTCCTGCCTGTCCTCAAGGACGTCCGTGCTAAGAGCACACTCACCCCCGACGGACGGAGGACAGACAGACTCAGACTCAGCAACAAGACTAGCGGCGTAGTCTAGACGACAGCGAGCAGCAAAGTCGACAAGCTCAACAACTAGGGCCGACGCAGCAGTGGACTCAAAGGAAGGGTCAGTGAGAACAGTAGCCAGGAGACGCGTGACAGTAGGACTGGCAGCACGAAGAGAGTCAGAGTCCGGGTCAGGGAGAACAGGAAGAGAGGACTCTGGAGGAGACGGCAACGGGACACGCAGAGGAGCAGAGGAAGGACGCAGTGCCATCTGGTGTGTGCCTGGGAGTGCATGAGGACGCGGACGCGGAGCACGACCACTAGTGCGAGCAGCACGAACAGGCGACATAGGACGAGACGTAGGCTCACGACGCTCAGCAAGACCTCCAGTAGGACCAGTGTAGGGAGAAGGAGCAGGTAGGGGGGAGGCGGGCTGTAACTGTGACCGCGACTGGACAGGCTGTGGACACTCTAAGGGTGGAGCAGGACCAATAGAGGGCGAGAGACCAAGAACCTCTCAAGGAGCGGAACGAAGTACGGCCTCGGCCGCGCAGCGCCTCCAGAACCAGCAGGGACAGCACCAGTACCCCCTGCAGCAGCACCAGCGCCAGCAGCACCTCCGGCTCCAACAGCGCCAACTCGAGCACCCTCAGACGTACCAGCGCCAGCAGAACCACCAGCGCCAACATCCCCAGCAGCTCCAACTTCAGCAGCTCCAGCAGCACCAACGCCTGCAGGACCGGCAGCTCCAGTACCGCCACCAGCTCCAGCAGTACCTCCAATAGGACCAACTCCAGCAGCCCCAGCAGCACCCCCAGTCCCAGCAGCTCCAGTACCGCCAGTACGAGCACCTCTGCGACTAGCAGCAACAGTAGCAACTCCAGCTCCAGCAGCACGGCTCCAGCGCCGGGCAAACCACTCGCGTAGCTCCTGCGGAGAGAGTAGCTCCCGCCTCAATGAAGCACCGCGAGAGGCCAGACGAGCAGACCCAGTACCCCCAGGCTCCGCACCCCCAGGCTCAGCAACCCTAGGCTCAGCACCCCCAGACTCAGCACCCCCAGACTCAGCACCCCCAGGCTCAACACCCCTAGGCTCCGCACCCCTGGACTCAGCACCCCCAGGCTCCGCACCCTCAGGCTCAGCACCTCCAGAGCCGGCACCCGCAGGCTGAGCACCTCTAGCAGCACCAGAGTCAACAGCTACCTCGACAGGCTCGACTGCGTCTACCTGGGACACACCTGACGGGGCAGGACCCTGAGGGGGGAGGGGGTCTACCGGAAGAGGACCTGGCGCAAGGAAGAGCGGCGGCGAGGGGAGGGGCACAGTGCGGTAGGGGAAGAGACGGTAGTAAGGCACCGACTCGTCAAAGGTGACGTCCTGGGAGGACAGAACACGGCGCGAGGTGGGGTGGTAAAACTGCCACCCAGGCGCGTCAGGGGGGAAGCCAAGGAAGACGCAGGGAACAGCACGGGGGGACAGCTTGTCCGCAGACAAGTCGCGGACAAACGCTCGAGATCCCCAGACCCGAAACGCAGACGCATCGCCAACCTTCCCCGTCCACCGCAAGGTGGGGGAGGTCTTTGGCAAGGAGACCCGAGGTTGAAGGTTGAGCTGATGCGCTGCGTACTGAACCGCAAACGGCCACAGAAAATGGGGGGCAGCCGCATGGATCATGGACGTACGCACGACGTCCATGACCATGCCAATGCGGCGCTCAGCAATCCCATTTTGCTGTGGAGTGGCCGGAAGCGTGAAGGTCTGGCGGATGCCCTGTGCACGACAGAAGGCTCCCAGACGGGCAAAGGAAAACTCCCCACCTCTGTCAGAGTGCAGACGCAGAACAGGAAAGTTTGAGCTGAAACTCTCTCTGAGCTGGATACGAGCTGCGCGGATCCAGTCGATCAACACCTCAGTGACGTCACCCTTGCTGCGCAAGGGGAACACCGTGGTGTCACACGAGTAGTCGTCAACCACCAACAGGAAGTAACGCTCGTGACCCTGGCCACGGACGCGGGCGTGGCCCCACACGTCCATGTGAAGATTCTGTAGCGGAGCCTCTGTCGGAGGAAACTCGGAGGAATGAGGGGCGGCGCGCTGTCGCCCCTCGACGTAGGGGACGCAGGTAGGAGAAGGCCCTAGAAGTAGGGGAGGTAGGGACCGGGGAAGACCAGAGACAAGGACACGTGAGGCCATGCCTCGGAGACGAGGCAAGGAGGGGTGACTAAGGCGGTGGTGCCAAAAGAGAGCCTTGTGTCACACGAGACGACACGGGAAGGGCGGAGACTCAGGACCAGACCTGGACGCTGCAGCAAACACCTGACTCGACGCAGCTACCTGACCAGACTCAGCAACCGGAGGAGACTCACTAGTCAGTGTGTACAGGCTCGACCCCGGCCGACGGGTAAACGTGGCCAAGTGTCGGCCCGTCCGAGCACACGTACAGTGGGTCACCCGCTGACCCGCAGGAGTGAAATGGTCAACCCCCCTATCGTGTAGATCAGCTCCACTCACCAAGTTCGTAGAGAACGAGGGGAGGTAGAGACCTGACAGGGTGCCAGAGGGGGCTGCCGGGCACGGTAAGACAGTGGAGAAGCTAGCAAGGACAGGACCCCCAGAGGGGTCCGCCAGGGAGATCGCAACCGGCCGACTAAGCAGCATAAGCGTGGTGCGGTCTCGAAAGAAGGAGCGGGAAGCACCCGAGTCAAGGGTGAAGGTGTGTAAGGCCTGAGCCGACGTGGTACCTAAGAGAGCAGACTCACCAGCTACTGGGGCAGCAGATGCACTAGCACCTAGAGCAGCAGCCTCACCAGTACCTAGAGCAGCAGCCTCAATGCCGGGGTCAGGCGGAACACACAGGTAACAGTCACCCTCAACATCATCAGACACAGCATACATGGCAGCAAGAATAGCATCATAATCAAGATCAAAGATAGCAACCCCCGCCC